CCCCCAAAACCCCAAAACCCCTCGTGCGTGCATTTGCGCAGACAGATGAGAATCACTAAATGAAACACAATTAAATTAATTTGATAATGTAATTATGAGAGTATTATATTAATTTTTTAAGTAAGCTTTAAAGAATATATTTTACTTCATTCTAACGAGGATATCAGATTGAAAATGGATTCGAATGATAAACAAAGCTATTAGAGCGAGTAAAAACAAGGAAACTTGAATTCGACTTTAACCTCCAAAGTTGGGAAGGTTTTGTAGATACTAGCTTAGTTGGGAGATTAAGTGCAGACTCCTTAAGTTATTTCTCCATTCCACTCGACAATACCAACAAACATTCCCGTGCAGCCGTATTTTCTCTACGTTTCGATCAATTCAGGATTGAGTGACCAGCAAGCAATTGTGAGTCTTATCTTGATCGAGAGAATTTGCAACATGGCAATGCAAAGAGGCATTCACTTGGTTATAAATTCTTTGACAATTCACAGGTAAGATAGATTACTAATAAATTTGCAAAAATACATTTTCTTGAGAATATGTTTATATCTATATAATTCTTATTATTTCAAGACCTAATCTCCTTCTTTTAGACTCATTCTTGCGTCTATCTTACTCACATCGAAGTTTTACAATGACATTTTCTATGGAAATCACTTCGCTGCCTACATAGGCGGAATTCAGTTGGATGAGATGAACTTGCTTGAGTCAGAATTTTTAAATTATATCAATTGGAAGCTGTGGGTAGAGATCGAGGAGTACGACTATTATCTAAAAGGGGTATTGCAGCATTTTGAATAATCTGAACAATAAAGTACTCAAGCCTGCCCTTAAGGACCCTAATCTAGTTGTAGACTAGATTCAGAGCTCCAATCCTAGGGTGCTGCAACTATGAAAGCAAACATTTGAACTTGTACAGAGAGAAAGCCTTGTTCATCTAACTTAAGTTCCGTATCTTTTAAACCTTCAGAGTACGGATTCATATGATTTGATTATATACTATCTATAAATGTTTCCTTGATAAGAATCGCGCTTATTTATGTGTTCTAATTATTGTTTTACCTTAATAACTTTCTTTCTCATTATTGTTTTCTTAAAACGGAAGGGAGATTCAGAAGTCAAAAATGATTATAAATTCAAAAATGACTTCCGATGTGCCTAGCAAATAGTTAATTTCATACTGAACGTAGACAGTAACTATCTCTTGATGGGACTTTCCCTCGGATAAATAAAATTAGATTTTAAATTAATATTAAATTTATAATGACGAGTGCATTATGCATGCTTAGTGCAATCATCTAAATGATTCAGTTTTTTCATAAGTCATCTCCTCATTACTAAATATGCTTGTCGGGCAAGCCATATTAAGAGTTCAAACGCGATATAACTATAATAAACGTGATGAGCGTATGAAGTTTTTAGTTACAACCAAAGGATAGGAAATCATTCTAACATGATATAAGATGTTACTGGAATGGGAATTGGGCAATCAATGACCAGGGAATAGACCTAATGTGATAAAACCATAGAGAATCTAAGATATATTTCATGACTCAATATCGGGGCCTAATAACAATACAGCTAAAATATTGAGTTCCCGTCGACATATAATGAGGTGGTATATCTGAAATAATAGTAACGTTGCTTGTTTAGCCACTAAAAAAGCTTAAAAGCGATTCAATGTGATTGCTTATTGTAATAAGCATCAAATATTTCGAGATTAGGTGAATGCTACATGTAACTTAGATAAATAGTACCCTACCTAATAAAAATATTGAATTTAAACGTTTTATACTCTCATTGTCATAAGAAAAATTGCTCATAACGGGGTTTTGGGGTTTTGGGG